ATATTCGAGAAACTTAAATGGATGGGATAGGATATCCAAATAGGGAAGAAGAATATAAACAATATTAGATTTACAGACGATATTGTTCTCTGTAGCAAGTCACCAAATGAGCGGCAACAATTTGTAAACGACTTGAATAGAGGAAGTATGGAAAGCTGGATGAACAGGAAAAAACTAGTTATGTTCGACAGGCGAGTTCGGCGTTCACGCTAATGGACGAATATATTTGTTTCTTGGGCAACTCATACTTATAAATACATTTAGTGAAAAGGAAATAAAGCGACGAATTTGACTAAGATGGAACGTCTTCAGCAGACACAGTAGCATATTAAAACGCTCCTTGCTACTATGTTTAAAGAGAAAAGTCTAACCAATGCGTCCTCCCCGCCATGATATATGGGCCATAAACACATGGCCAAGTTAGTGGAGAGGAAACTATTATTTCCAGAAAGGACTGGAAAGTTTGATGCTATGACTTAACCTAAGGCTCTGGCAGCATGGACAGGGCGAATTGGTGAACAGAAAGCAATAGCTAACATAAGGAGGCTAAGGGCGAGACCGATGGCTACGTAGCGTGACGGAATAGCAAAAATCAGAGGACAAAATTGGGAACGCAGAACGATATGTGTGTGTGTGTGTTTGTGTGTGTGTGTGTGTGTGTGTGTGTATGTGTGTGTGTGTGTGTATCAGGTGTGCGCTTGTTCAGGGAGTATATCGTGGTGAACAGATTTTCATGTCGCTCTTACTATGAGCTTATATGTGAATGCATGTGCATGCAGAATAAATGTGCACATATGCATATACAAAGTCAAAATAAGACATTTCAACTTTGCACATATGTACATAAATATAGAGAGAAGCGGCGCCACACACACACACACACACACATATATATGTATATACAGAGAGAGAGAGAGAGAAATAGAGAGAGAGAGAAAGTAGAGAAGAAATCTTTACAAAGTGAAATATAAATTCTTCAAGATAAAGATGGTAAGAGTGAAAAAAGAAATACAATGAAGAAAATACTGATTGTATATTTACTACTCTTGTCATTACCATTACCGATACATGAGATTATAGAGCTATCAACTTACACTGACCTTAAATAACTGGGAATACTTTTCCTGGGTAAGTGCCATTTATTCCTATATCAGTAACCCATGTTTTTTCTTTTTTATCCTTCCTCTTGACACAAAAGAATCAATATCCTCACAGACCCAAGAAGTTGTTTTGATCATAAGAAAAACAGAAGAGTTTAATTACCAGCATGTGCAATACAAAATTCAGCTTTAGGACGGTGGATTTACCACTGAAAAAAATCCCAAAGACAACCACCAGAGGAATGAAACGAGTTCGATATGAACTCTAAAACACCAAACGTAACTGTAATGACAATAACCAAAGGTGACTGTATGATTCTCTCGCACGAAAAGGACTTATCAAGAACTGGTGTGAGTCTAGGGAAAATCAGCGATAGTTGGTCTTTAATCTTCCAAAGTTCACAAGGTATCGTCGGAGTGTTATATTACGGGATGAGCAGGGAAGCGAGGACCTGGAAGAGATGAGGCGAGGACTATAAAATGATAGTGACCTCCCTTAATCTCTGGAGAGGTCATGGTTGCAAGCATGATAAAAACATGGAGTGGGTTATTGAGTGGCCACGTGAACACCACGTGGCTGCGTCATCTTATAAATAGAAAGGAATAGTTAAACGTGCTGTACTTCATATAATAACGTTCACCGCCAGGTTTCTGATTTTGTTTTTCGCTCCGGGAAATTTTGAATTTTTTATCGTGCAAGAATTTGAATAAATACCGTTTTCAAAACTTTTCTGATGTACATTCAATAATACAGACAACAGATAAAATATTGCTAGTCAACAATTTTAAAACCATTCTGATGCCCATTTGAATATAGACAACTGATGAAATATTGCCAGTCAGCAAGTTTAATGTTTTTGTTGTCCTGCTTAATCAGATAATGACACCCATATTTATGCATATTGAGAGAAATGATAGTATGTAAGACAGACAGCATATGAAACAGATTAGACATATGACTTTCTAAAGTAACAGCAGACATTTTTGCCGCATAAGGAAAGGAGAACAGAAAAAAAATTGATAATAATAATTGCTGGACTCGACAAAGTTCTCTCAGTATCTATCATACCTTGTTTTTTCTCCTCTTTCCCTTTTTCGTTTTTGCTCTTTCCCTGTCTCTCCATCTGTCTGTATATCTCTTTATCGCCCCCCCCTCTCTCTCTCCTCCATTAATTTCTTTGTATTTCTCTGTTTGAATAAATTCATTTTCCTCCTCCATCTATTCATAAAATTGTGTTCCCAAGAAAAAGGAGGAAACATCAATTATCTTAGAATTAAAACTATCGCCCGAATATAATTAAGTGACCCTTTACATACCGAAAAAGTTGGCACGAGGCTATAACATGCCAGTGCCATCACTTGGTAGTTTAAGGACTGCAAAAAACAAAAAACAAACAAACAAACAAACAAAAAATATGGCAAAACATCAAATAGAAGAGACGCGAACCCTAAAGAAAAATGGTGTCTCCTTAATGAAATAAAACTTTTGTTTAAGCAGGTTGTACCTCATTCTGTAGGCTTTTAGACATGGCACTAGTAGAACGTGACAAAAGAA